GTTTGTTGTTATTCCAAAACGTTTGAAAGGCAGATGCCTATTTTTAGAGCTTAAATACATAATATATGTTTACTGCCCTAGATGGAGATCCTGAGGATGAGGAGGCACTTTGTGTGTCAAAAGTAATGCAGTGGCTGTCTGGTCAAGCACACGTGCATTTGCTTCTTTCAGAAAGACAATATTTTAAAACCACTGTTCAATTTGACCATACATGCATGGAACGTATGCCAGACCACAGAATTTGCTACCCTGTGGTCAGTGCATGGACCCAGACAATAACATTTCCCACTGCACATTCAACAAGTTTAAATGAATTTAAAGAAAACATGAAAATTGCAGTGCAACAGGGAGCTTACTTTTACAGGGTGTAGAACAGATTTGTTAATACACGTTTTTGTCCTTTTGTCCTTTTAATTGGACTTGGAGCTTTTAAAAAAAGAGATAGACACAACTCTTTGTCATTTGTTTTATTTTCGAAAGAGTGGCTTATAAGATTTCAAAACATTGCTATGACATTAGTTTTACATAAACATTACATGTGTATTCTTGTGAATTAAATTTCTGATGGAACTACATGTGTTTTTGTAAGTTTTTCTTGGCAAGGTTTTAAATTTGCACAACATTATGAAGTTAGTTTTGCCTAAATGTTCCATGTGTATTCATGTAAATTCAATTTCTGATGGAACTACATGTGTTTTTGTATGTTTTCCTTGTTAGAAGTGAAATTTTAAAGCAGTCTTTGAATAATATCAAGTGACTGGACATAGAGCTCTCGGTTATTCAACGATGATGTCAAGGATCAATAAATCCCTGCAGAAGAGTGTTGTAAAAAAATAAAATAAATGAGTGAAAAGAAGAGAGAACCCAGTCCAGGAGACTCGAAACAAGCAGAATTCCTTTATTGAGACGTGTTGGTTAATCTGCAGTCATACAGCGTCTTTAAGATGTCCAATGTGTCTGCAAGAGCCTACTAGAGGTCCGTAGTCTGCAAGTTCTTTTACAAGTCTCTCACAAGTCTCACACAAGTCTGAATTAGTCTGAATTGAGACAAAGATTTCATGGCTATATTGTGTTCTTAGGAGGAGGGGATATGGCTAAACAGAGCATGCAAATTAAGAGTTGGAGTCAGCATGGCATAGGTGTTAAAAAACAGCCCAGCTACTGACCACACAAGTTAATCAACATAGGGTTTCTGTAGCATAAAAGCAACACCCGAAGACAAAGACAGAGTCGTTTAAAGCATTTGCATCACTGGCTTAGCCTGTAGTGAGAGAGATAAAGGTTAAATGTCCCTCCTAGCTGGGATGTTAATGAAATTATATAATTAAAAACCAGAGAATATAACTTTTCAGTTATACGTAGATTACTGTTCATTTGGAATTAGTTGATAGAAATTTATATTTCCACAGTTCCCCCTTTGAGAGTTATTTAAAAACTCTCACAAAAAAATATAAATTTATAAGCTTTCCCAAAACTATTCAATGGCTTCTGTTTGATAACAGAAGCCCCATCTTCTAGTCATGTAACTTGAAAAGTTACAGGCACATTTAACTTATTCTGTGTCATTTCAATATCTACGTAGATGTAAGTGTAGATTTCAAAACTGTTCACACGTTTATGACAATCAGTTGTAATGTCATAAATCCTACATGATGACACAAAAAATCATGTAGTTAAACTGCAGATCTTCTGAAAGTCCATGGCTTGTGAATAGTGTTCCGTCTTTTGTGAGGTGTGTTTCTTGTGGTTCTTCTCCAGCACAGAGTTGATCTGATGACTTCCTGTCATTCCTGGATCTCCGTAGTGATGTTCTAGTTCAGAGTGTTTCTTGAGAAGATGCAGTGTTTGTGTTTACCTGCACACAAGAAAACACGGAAACAGCAGACCAGCAGTATTCATGCATAGACTTGTATGATCATACAGTTCATGTGTCTAGTTATTCAGGTGATCGTATAGTGGTGTTAAGTTGATGATCGTGTAGTGTTGTGTATTTTCTGTCTCCTAATCTTAAAGTTATGACACCTATAAAACAGTGAGGTGAGGATAAATGGGGAAAAAGGGAGTCTTCACCACAGGGTGCGGCCCCTGAAGCCTGTTGCTTTCAGTTCTGCCCTGGGCTCCTCACTGGTTTGTGTGTCCTGTTCTGTCCCTGAGTGTGGTGGGCAAACTTTTAAAATGTGAGACACAAACTATCATTCAATAAATATCAGTCCTATCAGACATCATAACATTGAATGGGTAGTGATTGGAAAATGTGCTAAACACATTTAAGGCTGTAAGTGGACTTAAGCAGAGTTCCCCAATAAAAAGGAAGAAGTTTCCTTTGTGTCTTTTTACAAAGAGTCTTTCATCTTAATTGTAAATGAACTGGGACATTAAGCACTCACAGCCAAAAATGGTTAGCATCTTTGTGGACAGCTCAATGGATTTAGTGATGAAGGGAGGGGTATGTTGAGAGCATTTAGCAAACAGTTCAGAAGTTGATTTACCCTGTTCATCTCTTTAAAATTATTTTTATTCTTTCTACACTCCCTCATCCAATGTCCTTTTTTACCACAGTAATGACAACAGATATTTTTCCTAAGACATTTGTGATTTGATGTCTTTTCTGTGTTGACCTTAGTGGCGGCTGCTTCAAATCTGACTCTGTCTTTGATGTAAGAGTCTCTTTCCCACAAAGCTAAACTGTTCATATTATTTCTGAGAGTGGTGGAAGACCAGGTGATGTTAAGAAATGGCAAAGCTTGTCTGTATTCAGTTGCAAGGCCATCTGACCAGATGCGGACTAGGGGTCCCTTATCATTTAGCACACTGTCCGAATTATCAGCTAATCCACTGTAAGTTATGGCGGATTGACAAAATCTCTCAGTGAATTCATTCACAGATTCATCTTTCCTTTGCACACAACAAGTAACTTTTGACCAGTCAATCTTTGGGCCAACAATGTTCTTTAGAGCTTTCAAAACACCCTCTCTCAAATCATCCTTACTGGCATGTTGTAATTTAGAGGTCACAGTATGCTCAAAACTGTTGAATTCAGATTCAGTGAGAATTTGAGACATTAGCTACGTGACTTCTGTTAATGACATGTCATAAAGACGCATTTTGCTGATTAGTGCTCTGCTAAACTCTGAAAAATTTGTGCGTGCTGATGGTAAGCTTTGAGATAATCTGTCTATTTCTCTAGGTCCTAGTGTTCTGGAAACGGTTTGAATTTGAACAACAGAAGTGTTGTTGTGTGAACTCTCAGTTCTCTTAGATCTTCTGGCACCACAAACCTCTACTGAGCCTATAGGTAAATCGCTATCTGACTGGATGGAAATGTCTTTTTCAGAGACAATTTGTAAGTCAGGATGTTTATTATCAGGCTGACTAATCTCCTCAATGTCAGTTTTTGATTTCTTGAGGTTCAGTTGTTTTGTTAATGAGGTTATCTTAGCATGAAGCTCTTGGATCTGTTTTTCAAATTCTGATTTAGCTTGAGCTTGTTGTTTAGCTCGAGATAAACTGAATTCTCTGTAGCAGCAGATAATGCCTTTTACATTGTTTTTGCGAATGCATGCATCGAGCACTTTCTTGCATTCATCTAATGTCCAAACATCATCTGGGTCAATGCTAAATTTCTTTGTCAAATTTAGTCTGACTGACTCTGTTATTGAGTCCATGTGCTGTCGTAGCAGCGATTTGAAATCCTGATCTGACAATAAAGGAGTTTTTAAACTACCTTTTTCAGTTGTAGTGATCAGTCTTGTATTCTGTCTGAACATTTTGTGAGCTTATTATCACAAAGTAAAAATACTAAAACTTTTCAGATGAAAGTGTAGTAATTTCTTCTCTGGCGAAACAGAGGGTAACAATATTAGCACATGTTGCTAAAACTTCCTGCCTGAACAAGAGATAACATCAGTTAGCTTGTATAGCTAAACTTAAACTTCTCTGGTTGAACAGAGGTTAAACAAAATAAAATAAAATAGCGCATAAGGCTTAACTTCTCTAAAGAGAGGATAGCTTTTTAAAAGAAAAATAGCACGTAAGGCTTTACTTCTCTGTCTGAACAGAGGATAAAACTGTTACTTCTCTATTGAAATAGAGAATAACTTTTTGTTAAACAAACCCTGCAGCTGTTTGTTAACTTTTCTCTGATGGAGCAGAGAATAACCATGTGTATAGACTGGTCTGTATGGTTCTTTTGATAGAGTGAAACTCACCAAATCGAGGTTGAGCTGAAAAGATTCAGTCTGGAGTGATCTGATCTTTGTATTCAGGTAACTTTAATGTTCATCAGGGTTGCAGTCAGCAAATAGTTGAGAATTTGTGACGTCCGCTGAGTGACTTCAAATTGCCGTTGAGCTGAAGATTCCGTCTGAAGAAGTTTCCTTGATCTTGAAGGTTCAAGTTGAATTCCAGGTGGATTTCAGTCTTTTGTGGCAAATTGTTGAGAATTTGAGGATTTCAGTCTCTATCCGGGTCACGGCACCAAGTTGTTGTAAAAAAATAAAATAAATGAGTGAAAAGAAGAGAGAACCCAGTCCAGGAGACTCGAAACAAGCAGAATTCCTTTATTGAGACGTGTTGGTTAATCTGCAGTCATACAGCGTCTTTAAGATGTCCAATGTGTCTGCAAGAGCCTACTAGAGGTCCGCAGTCTGCAAGTTCTTTTACAAGTCTCTCACAAGTCTCACACAAGTCTGAATTAGTCTGAATTGAGACAAAGATTTCATGGCTATATTGTGTTCTTAGGAGGAGGGGATATGGCTAAACAGAGCATGCAAATTAAGAGTTGGAGTCAGCATGGCATAGGTGTTAAAAAACAGCCCAGCTACTGACCACACAAGTTAATCAACATAGGGTTTCTGTAGCATAAAAGCAACACCCGAAGACAAAGACAGAGTCGTTTAAAGCATTTGCATCACTGGCTTAGCCTGTAGTGAGAGAGATAAAGGTTAAATGTCCCTCCTAGCTGGGATGTTAATGAAATTATATAATTAAAAACCAGAGAATATAACTTTTCAGTTATACGTAGATTACTGTTCATTTGGAATTAGTTGATAGAAATTTATATTTCCACAAGAGCAAGGCTCTGTTTAGATAAAGGGCACTAGATCTCTGGAACCACCACACCATCTTCTGGGTCAGTATCAGTTTGCTGTTGATACAAACGCTCCAATGTCTGCAAAATCAAAGAAACATTAAATAGGTGAAAAAGTTTTCAGCTCTTTTGAAATACTGTCAATAAATTTTTATGGTCAAATCTGACCATATAAAGATGCGTTTTCAATGTATACACATCACAAGTGATCAAGTTAGGCACATTTACAAAGAAGTCTGCTACCATGCTTCTGAAGCGCTTTTGTTGTAATAAAGACATTACATTAAATACCTTAAGATCCACACAAAAATAACTTAAAATCTTTAAGAAATAAGGGTGATAAAATTAAGAATTTTAGAGATGAATAAAGAATACCTCTACATCTGGCTCAATCACTGGTGTCTGCAACTTTCCTATGTTTCAAAGCTGATTTGGTGAAAGATTTTTTTCGGTTATGATAGATGGTTGTTCCAGCTCATAATGAAGCACTTCAGGTCAGATTTCAGCCATGGAAGAATTGTGTAGTGCACACAAAAGAGGTGTAATTCATTTAATAAATCAGGCACTCCATATACCATTGCATGCAGGATTTCATAATATTTTGAAGTGACAGCTGACCAAACATCACACCACAGGTGCTCAATTCTTTAAAAAAAAAAAAAAAGATTTTTGTTTAGTATGCTTACAAAACAGCAAACAGACTATGGTATAATGTAATGCTACACATTAACATGTCTGAAAAATGTTATCAAGCTAGTGGTTGTTGGACCCCAACAAAAATAACATAAAATTGCACCTTTGATTGTGAACGCTTTTTCCGGCAATGAAGCTACCTCGACCAGTTCCTCGTACTGAGAACATGCAACGCGCAATGTTCACGTTTTCAACTCCCTGGTCACCACGTACATTGGAAAAGATTTAGGGAATATTCATTCAAAGTTAGGTTTCATTCAAAGAAATATTTGCAACTGGATATTAAAGTCATTAGCTTTGAAAATGTATAAACATAGGTCACTTTTTATAAAGACAGAACACTGCAAGATTTAAAAATACCATAACTCACATTTGTGAAGAATTCAATATATCATAATTCACATAATTTGCTTTGTGCAAATATAGTACCACACACTGATATCACACAACATGTAGTTAAGATGTTGACTCTAAAAAAGACTTTAAGATATTACACAAACGACACGTATTAAGTGTTCTTACCTTGAAGTCCACCCATGTTTGTGAACACCCTCCAGGACGAATAAGAAAGCAGTTGATGCCTTGTTGTTTTCAGCAGCATCAAGGTATAGGATCTATAAAAAAAAGGGGTTCAGGAGAAACATTTAAATAAATATTTTTAAAAATTCACTTTAAACATACATTGTACAGACCAGTGTTGCAAGCAGTATCACATATCTATTTTGCCCAGTTTCTCAGACAAGACTTAAGCCTTGTCCTAGATTTCTCTCTTCTGCTGATCATTAAAGAAGATATTTTTAAGAATGTTGCAAACCAAACAGTTGACAGCAGCCACTGATTTTCAGAGTAGCTCCTGTAGTCTGTAAGCTTTAGAATTTATATGCAATCATTCAGTGCCTACCTGGAAAAGTGACTTGTCTTTGGTTTACATTAAACGTTTTTACACAATAAACCAAAAATGTATAACGTTTCTAAACACAACATTTAAACAATAAAAGTGTTAAATAAAGCCAGGACTGTTGCACACTGTACATGAATAAAACTGTAATAGTTTAATGAACACACTTGACTTAACAGAGCAACAGGATCACCTTTATTCTAGCTGAAAACATGTGAAGAAGTCGCAAAGCATCACGGGTCGTATTAACCCCTTACCTCTCAATGTCATCACATAGTTCTTAAAGCTATGTAGGAGTCCATCTATTAGCTCAATGACGAAACTAACAGCATGGTCGAAGGTTTAATGCATGTAAGCCTTTTCTAGTGCTTATGAAAAGAATTTTATTATTTATTAGAATTTATTTATATTAATTTATTAACTCCGAATTCAATCTGACTCCAATTTAAATGATCCTAAAATTTAGATAATATTTCTAATTGTAAGAACGGATCACATTCATCATTTATGATTTAATTTAGAGTTTTGATATTTTCTGAGGTCCGATATTCTAATTGTACGTTCATTAGGGACCTATGTCGCTCAGAGTTCCACGCCCCGGGTTTGCGTTTCTTCTTACGGACAATATGTCGGCACTCTGAAAATAGTCAGAGGATGCAGGATTAACTATATTTGAATAAGCTGGTCGCATTAACGCTTACCTAGTCTTAAAAAAACAGATCATTAGCCAAGCCCATACAACTTGCTATTCCCAGTGGTCGAATGATTAAAAGGTCTACATGTTATCGGCACGCAATGGCTACGAATAATCAAATGCGCCAATTAAATCAATTTCGATTATGCCGTACGATAAGGGTAACGAGACTCCACATAATCTACTGGATACAATGAATTCGCAAAACTCCAGAATTAATCAAAACTTAAAATTTTATTTGTCAGGTAAAATTGTATTCTGCCAATTACATAATAAATCATCAGGAAGCCAATTCAGAGATGAGACTGTAACAATACAACATCCATTTATCAAAGATAAATCAAAGAGTTAAGAGATGCATACCTGACCACAGAAATACATTGCAGCATAAGTCTCAGAGATGCTGCAATGGGGTGTCTTTTTACAAGATCTCCCCCTGTCCTAAAGCACATCTTACCTTATATACTCAAGTCAAAACAAACAGCCATAAATTCAAGACAATAGAAGTGTCACAGAAACCCTGACCTGGTCAATTTGAGGACTTAACCATCTCTTAGGAGGGAGAGCATCTTATCAAGATCTTATAGAAGTCAAAAACCAAATCAACATATACCAGTAAAATATTACTGTAAACTTAAGACCACTTTACCAATCACACAGAGACATTTAAAATGATACCAAACATGAATATAGTGATGCAAGATACACCATATTAAAACCTTGAACATTTTATGTGAAATGTGCTCTAATCAGAAGGTAACATAAGGGTCAAGAAGGGGGGTTTAAGTGGAAGGAGAAGGGGGACTTCTTCGCATTACCCCCTGCTGTTGAGTAGCTCTGTTTCTCCAGCCTGTGATTGCATTGTCAACAGTGATTTGAATAGAACAGTGGAACAGTTGGTTTCTTCATCACTTCTCAGATTAGAAAATCTATTGGAACATTGCATCTTGTCTCATGAAATTCCATAACAGTTCTTATGGTCTGATATTTTGGATCCTTACAGTCCTCCCCTGGTCCCTTGGAGCAATTCTGAGCAGTCTCTAAGGGAACACAAGATCATTTAGATGGCTTTGGCGAGCGTTGGTAGTTGTAGTATAGCATTGTAGTAGCGATGTCATCACCTGAAATCACAACATTAAAAGCAGCTTCAACATTAAAATGGAGTTATGTTGCTGAACCCCACAGTCTCTTTAGTTGTAGACATACGGTGTTGAGCTTGGGCTCAAGTGACTGCTCAGGCATTTATGCCATCAGCTTCGTCGCATTTGTGTCCATTTAAGGTGGTATTCAGTCCATAGGATGACAAAGTTCAATGTGTGATCAAATATATTGCAAGTCTCATTGCACTTTGAGAACCATTCATGTGCATTAGATCCTCCCCTGGTCATTATCTGTTCCACTGGAAAAACCTTTGTTAGCATCAAACATAAGGTGAGGTTCACAGGGCAGTTCATATTTTTCAGGTTAAGGAACAATATCACTAATGATGCTCTACTGTTTAGGAGACAGCTGGATAACATTTGAATGACCATGCAATAGTTGAATATCAATGTCCTTTGCATCACTGTGGAATGGGTAAACACAAAACACAATAACCATGTTCTAAGTGTGAGAGGTAAATAAGATCTTAATAAGTCCTAAATTTAATAGTAATAAATCCGCAGATGCTTCACTCCCATGATGGCAATGTAATTTAGAAAAAGTATTTGATATGAGTAAATTTCAGGACAGGTGCAAAACCAATATAAACAGTTTTTTTTTTACCAGTGGTATGCATAATAAAAATATATAAAACATCAATAATAAAAATACACAATTTCACAATTAAAATCATAAAATTGACGATATAAATGGTTCAATTGAAAAAAACATTAATGCAGATTTAAGGTTTAACCAGATTAACCGAAGAATGAAAATTCAAACAAAGTAAGATTTAACATCTTCAGGTAAACTTTTCTCATTCGTGTATTCAATGTACAGGCTAAAGTCACATTCAATAATGCAGGTATAGTTAAGAATTTGGTTAAACTGCTAGTGCCTGCATTTTTAGATTTAGTTGTTTTTATCAATTTTGAGTTTTCAATAGTCACTGTTGGAAAATAGTGGGCCCTACTATTTTTCCAACAGGGCTAATAAATGAACATGAATGAATTAAACATTTTGTCCAAAGAGACTAGTAGTCTCATTTAGATTTTGCTAATTCACAAGTGAAATAGTTTGATATGTGACTGTAGCCATGAACAAATTTACTGCACATTACTACATTAATACACAGCAATTTGAAAAACCATAAAGTTACAAAATTGTTTATCACAATTGATATTTAAGTAATATTTCCACATTGTCCTATATGTATGAGCTGAATCATGTATGATATATTTGAATGATATAAATTATTTTTAACCTGGATAGTCGACTTATACCAGTTAAAAATACTGTGAGGTTGCAGTAATGTATGTTGCGTGTGTTTGTGTGCATGAGATGGGTGAGGTTTAATCACAATCTGTGTTGCAAAATTTGGATCCAGCAGTATACTGGGAGGCCATGGAAAAAGACATGTGTTAATGTGTTTGTGGTGTGAAGTGTGATTGGCCTCTTATACCTTTATCACCCATCTCATATCAAGCTGTGTGTCCTGTCTGGTTACAGGCAGGTTTAGGCAGCAATCCACCTGAATGGTGAAATAAATGCAGAGAGAAACACAGTTTTATCTGAGCCTTTACACAAATTATATTAAAATAGATGGAACTATTTTAATTTTCCATTTATGGTCTTAGCCAAAGAGAATTTTGGCATCAAATTAAATGCCATTAGAATTTATGTTGGTTTACAAAGACATCTCATTATCATGATCATGTTTTTGTAAAGCATAAGGTTCAGATAAACTGAGCATTAGTATTTAAATCTGGGCATGTTGTTTAAAATTTATTTTGCATTTGAACTTTCAGTCTGCCATAATGTGAGTTTCATAAAACTCAGATTTACTGAGATATTTTTTGTTCACACTGGTCAGATCTGTGTTCGAAGCATCAGTTCATCAATTTGGATGCTGTGCTTTTATTTAGCAATGAAAATTTAAAAATGCAGATCAAATTTGAATATACATCTCTGTATTTTATACATAGATTTCTGCCAAAGTTAATATTGCACACAACTTTGATTACATGCCCTATTAAATTAATCTCCTGATTAAATGTCAATACTAGGTGGTTTTCCCAAAGAGGGATGATTTAGTTTAAAATAATTTTACCACAAAGTTCCAAGGGAAAAAAACAGATATGTACCTCCCCTTGTTACTTAGTTGCAACTTTAGGTAAACTGCAAAGTTTAGGCCAATATACTTCTGTAATGAATACATTTTCTTTGTTAATGTAATTATGAAATAAACTTTAGCCTCATGGCTAATACTGTACTCCTGCTTGTGGTTTAAACTGCAACTATATTGAGGATAGTACAGCTTTCCACTTTAAGGAGATAAGCATATTTACCATAAAAACATAATTGTTTCTCATTTATAGTAAGACAATCGTGTGAACTAAATTATAGGTGTACTTTTAGTAACACAAACAATTATTATATGTTTTTATGGAAATGAAAAAGTGTCCAACACAATTACAAATATGAAAACGCAATCAGCCTATAACCCTGCCTAGTTAACTAATAAAGTCATTACTATCGTGGGTTGACATTTACCGAGAGTATTTTTAATCTAATCAGGTCGATCAGTTTAGCTGGCAAATTTTGGGCAATTTGAGTTCTCATTAAAGACTCTCGCATAATTAGAAGATTAAGAAATTCATTCTTGTTATTTTTCCTTTCAGTTTTCCCTCTTATCTACTTACTTCTTTTTTAATGCTGTAACATTAATAAAGATCCTCTTTTTCTTGTAACCTGCCTTTATCCATTTTACACCTATTCGATTTTCTTTTCCCTTCTTAAATTATGCTGAATCATTTTTGAGAATTAAATGCCATTATAGGCTGTGGTAATATAAAATATCATGATGTTGTTATGATAAGTTA